ATCACGGCAGGGGACACCAGAAATGGGCTTCGCACATTGTACCCATGTGGGGAATCGAACCCGGGGCCTTCGGCGTGACGAGCGAACGCTTTAACCACTAGGCTAACCCACCGCCCCGAAAAGTTTGTAGGCATTGGCGAAAACAAATAGTGTGTTTTGTGGAAAATACTCAAACGTAAAACAAATTAAATAGTATATAAATGAACAAATATAGATATTAGTAGTAGAAAAGAATATGTTGTTTGATGATGCTCAGTAAATGAATAGTTTGTTTCATATCGCTGGTCAAAAACAACGATCGTCCTAAAAAAGGTTCCGGGTCAGAACAGGCCCCCAGTAACACATGCTAAAAGGGGGATCGGGGATGTTTGGTTTTTGTTCACGTGTTCATCACAACAAGGTTGCGGGAATGTTGCTTTTGTTGGTTTGTCACGTGTTCGTGACACAAACATTACCTCACCCGGTTTCGTAATACTTCTGTGAGACCTACACAGACATATACTCTGGTTGCAGATCCGAAACGAGACATTCAACATAGCTCAGTTCGTTAAGGTAAACTCTAATGACGGGAGCTCAAAAGTTTCAAGTAAAAACTGGTAAAAAGGGAACCATAAAGTTTAAGATCAAGCCTGCTAATAACGGAACCAGATAATACCATGGGAACACTATAGGCTCAGGTCAAACCAGATAAATATGGGAACACTATAGGCTAAGATCAAACCTGATAAATATGGGAACACTATAGGCTAAGATCAAACCTGATAAATATGGGAACATTATAGGCTAAGATCAAACCTGATAATATGGGAACATTATAGGCTAAGATCAAACCTGATAATATGGGAACATTATAGGCTAAGATCAAACCTGATAATATGGGAACATTATAGGCTAAGATCAAACCTGATAGGGAACATTATAGGCTAAATCAAACCTGATAAATATTATAGGAACAAACTATAGGCTAAGATCAAACCAGATAATATGGGAACAAGATCTATAGGCTAAGATCAAACCAAGATAAATATGGGAACACTATAGGCTAAGATCAATAAATATGGGAACATTATAGATAATATGGGAACATTATAGGCTAAGATCAAACCTGATAATATGGGAACATTATAGGCTAAGATCAAACCTGATAATATGGAACACTATAGGAACATTATAGGCTAAGATCAAACCTGATAATATATGGGAACATTATAGGCTAAGATCAAACCTGATAATATGGGAACAAACCTAGGCTAAGATCAAACCAGATAAATATGGGAACATTATAGGCTAAGATCAAACCAGATAAATATGGGAACATATATAAGATCAAACCTGATCAAACACTATAGGCTAAGATAAACCTGATAATATGGGGGAACATTATAGGCTAAGATCAAACCTGATAATATGGGAACAACATTATAGGCTAAGATCAAACCTGATAATATGGGCTAAGATCAAACCATAATATAACATTATAGGCTAAGATCAAACCATTATAGGCTAAGATCAAACCTGATAATATGGGAACATTATAGGCTAAGATCAAACCTGATAATATGGGAACACTATAGGCTAAGATCAAACCAGATAATATGGGAACATTATAGGCTAAGATCAAACCTGATAATATGGGAACATTATAGGCTAAGATCAAACCAGATAAATATGGGAACATTATAGGCTAAGATCAAACCTGATAATATATGGGAACATTATAGGCTAAGATCAAACCTGATAATAATATGGAACCCAATATAGGCTAAGATCAAACCTGATAATAGATAGGTTAAGATCAATAATAGGCTAAGATCAAACCAGATAATATGGGAACACTATAGGCTAAGATCAAACCTGATAATATGGGAAACATTATAGGCTAACATTATAGGCTAAGATCAAACCTGATAATATGGGAACATTATAGGCTAAGATCAAACCTGATAATATGGGAACATTATAGGCTAAGATCAAACCTGATAATAAGGGAACCCAATAGGCTAAGATCAAACCAGATAATATTGAACATTATAGGCTAAGATCAAACCTGATAATATGGGAACACTATAGGCTAAGATCAAACCTCAACCTATAGGCTAAGATCAAACCAGATAATATGGGAACACTATAGGCTAAGATCAAACCAGATAATAAGGGAACAATATAGGCTAAGATCAAACCTGACTAATAAGGAGTACTCAAACCTATAGGCTAAGATCAAACCTGATTTAAAAGGAGATCAAACCCGATTACAGGGAGGCTACAGGCTTAGGTCAAACCTGATTTAAAGGGAGTCCTACATGCGTAGGTCACACCTGATTTAAAGGTACTCTACAGGCTTAGGTCAAGCCTGATTTAAAGGTGCTCTACGGTCTCAGATCAAACCTGATTTAAAGGTGCTCTACGGTCTCAGATCAAACCTGATTTAAAGGTGCTCTACGGGCTCAGATCAAATCTGATTTAAAGGTGCTCTACGGGCTCAGATCAAACCTGATTCAAAAGGGAGCACCATAGGCTGAGGTCAAACCTACTTAAAGGGGAGCTATATAGGGCCAGGTCAACCTGAGATCGAAGGGAGCTTAGTCATCCTAATATCCGTATACCAACCGAAGTGTTATATGAACATCTGTAATATGAAACTTGATCATCAAATTACAGGAATGGATAATTCGTTTGTCCGAGTTGTCCAAACATAAGAAGTGAGTTGTCACTCATTATATCAATCACCGTATCGTCTGGTCCAGACACATCTGTATACAGACCGCTGTCACCAAATAGCTGCAATACAGCTGAGTGCGGCGTTGAACAAACAATATGCAACATGAACGTTTTTCCCCAAACTAAATTCCTCAACGCGCAGCCAATGAATAATAAACATTTTACAGTTCAACTTTTCTTTATCTTTTCTTGTCAGAGCCTTTTCTAACAAGCTGTTTTAGTTGGGCTCTTTTTGTATCACAGGTGAGGCTTCATTAAACAAAATGTTGCGACGATTCCGTTAAATGAATAGTCACGTTGCTATGGTTAAACCCATGTGTGAAGTTATACACCGAAAGGAAGCGCCGGTTAAGGTTTCCAGTAGCCTTCAGTAGGAGTAAACTACCGGACAAAATTGAGTACACACCGAGGTTTATGAGAAAAATAAACCAACAAGAACCGGTTATTCGATGGGGAGGCATTTGATACGGTTTTCATTGGCGTTACTAAGTCAGCCCAGTAAAAAAATATACCCTTTTTGTAAAAACATTTAAGTTGACACATCCAATTTTTAAGCGTATACCTTTTTCGACCGGCAGTATACATCTGAATGGCATATATCCGGGAGGTAAAACCTTCTTCCGGCAGATAACGTTACTTCGATACTTTCCGTCGACAACCGGTTAATGACGTAAAAACCCGAGCACGTAAAGACACAGGTTCACCATTCGTCACCACTCGCCCCATTCCGTAATCGGTATTCGGCTTGTCCCGGAATAACACGAGTGGGTCACGAATGACAGGTTCACTTGCAATCAGCATGAATGAGAGTTCGGAATTACGTATGTATGTAATATGTAATTGCATACCAGTGATATATGTATGAATAATTCTAGATTTTTTTAGCTGTGTTATAGTATAAAATAGTTAAAGCAATACACACATTTCAGTTGTTTAAATACTACTTACTTACAACGTATAAGACTTGTTGGACCGGATACGGAGACGCTTACGACAAATAGCTGGAGGCAAGTGATTTGCTTTGGCCAACATGTCTTTATCGCTGAGCCGGCTGGTTGAACAAGATATGCCGGTCTGGCATAATACTGAGACATTGCGCAAAAGAATTTTTTGTTGTTGTTGTAAACTTCAAATCTGGCTTGTACATAGACTTTGAAACATGTTTCGGGGAAAATGAGTTATTAAAACGTGTTTCGGGGAAAATGAGTTTTCAAAATATGTTTGGGGGAAATAATTGTTTAAAATATGTTTCGGGGAAAAATGAGTTTTCAAAATATGTTTCGGGGGAAAATGAGTTTTTCAACTTGTTTTCCGAAACATGTTTTAAAGACTATGTACAAGCCAGATTTGGACCGGGGTAGAATAATGGAATACATAAATAAATTGTATAATGTTGAGTACAATATATATAGTCCAAGATATTTTATGGATTAAACTTCTTTTTTATTCCTCTAACGACGTTTCGGGACCATTCCAGGTCCCTTCATAGGGTCCCTTCAGTTCACCTGATGAAGGGATCCGGAATGGTCCCGAAACGTCGTGAGGGAAATAAAAAAGAAGTTTAATCCATAAAAATATCTTGGACATCTATGTACAACTTCTAAATGCCAATGAAAGACAATATATAAGGCATTTTGAGAGTGAGTTGTAATTGTACTAGATATACAACTTGAATTTTACTAACTATTTTTCATGAATATTTCAAGGATATATTTGATCCAGTTTACTGTTTAATGTAAATGAAATGCAAAAATCAACTGACTAAATTTCTATAAGCAGATGTAATTGACATTTCAGCCAGTCATCGTGAGACGTGACTGTTAGGGAAATGAAGTGTGAACTTTAAACTAGAATTACAGGAGGAAATTTCGATAAGCAGTTGTAATTGACGTTTCAGCCAGTCATCGTGAAACATGACCCAACTATTAACGGCTTTCTGTTTGTAAAAATAATTCAGTGTCGAAATATCAAGAAAACTTTTTATAGTAAAAATCCTAAGGCATGAAAAGCCTAATACAAGATCTGACCGACGGGAACTTCTCACTATCTTCACATGCATGATTTAAAGGTGTTCCTTAAAAAAATGTCTACTAATTGTCCACACCGGATGGCAGCGGCACCAAGCTAGACTTGTTCCTGTTTGTTGAGTCTGGAGCACCAATTCGATCAATTCCTTGCAGGATCGCTACTGTGGCCATAAGTGTGTCAGGGCGAAAGTTTAATTTCCCAGCAACGATGTCGCAATGAGCCGGATATTCTGTCACGGGGATCAAAATATCTCGCACCGTCAACATGGCAGTCTAGCGGTGCCCGCATCTGGTTAAAGTTTAATCGTATGGATTACCAGCATGTATTACTGTCAGTCTCGTCTAATGTACGCCATTCCGTGATGACTGACGCATGAGGTCGTTAATTTCATATCTGGTAAGTCAATTTTTGTGCCACAGATCTTCTAACCCCGAGAGGATAATCGTTGTCTGCGATGAAAATTGCACCTGTTATGACTCTTCTCTTACGGGCTTCCTCAAACCTCACCGTTAAAATTTGTTGCTGTGATCGTTTCATCAAAATCAAGGCTTATGTTCATGATGTAGTACTATATTTCCTGACAAGGTTCACGACAGAAGGATCTTGATGGCTCATTTACAGCAATAGTATAAACGCCTGTGTTACACCAAGTGCCACATTGTACACTGTCAATCAAGTTGCCGTTCTGACGAAGTGAGACTTACAATTTGCCCCCGATACCAGTCAAGATTTTGAGTTAAGATTACATAACAAATCGTCTCTTTGAGTGTGAGGTATATTTCATTTGTTAAACGACCTTCACTGTTTCTTCTAATCATATACACTTTAATTCATGTTGTGGAGTAATAAAAACGTCAATGTTTGCCATTAATTTCGTACATTACGATTTTCCCATTGTCAAATTTTACGAGATAGCTCATATTATGTCCCTTTTAGTACATAACTATGGACTGCTGCTTCTCTGAATGTCTGACCTTTCGCTAAATAATTTGCAATCAGTAACAGTGTGATAACATTAACCTGATTGATCAACTTGTATACATGTGACCCATGCAGGGTTGTATATTGCAGTCAATCAACACAGTTAGTGCAGGTATTGCCTTCGGGGTGTGACAGCTATTGACAATATAGCCAGCCATATATGTATAAATGTATTACACCCTGTAGAGGATTAGCTCGCAGCAACACACGATGATCAGAATCGCTGACACGGAACCATTGCCCAGCTGACTGACAAGTCAACCGAAATGGATATGTTTATGTACATGGATATATTTACGCAGTGTGTTGAAATAGACAACAATATGAAAATTATGATATTTTATTGACATGTTTTTGTGGAGGTATGTATGAAGAAATTACACCAGTATCTTGCAATGTACAAGTGTTTTTGTTTTTAAATGTATGATAGCTTCTAACAGTACATTACTACCATAGTGGGTGATAAAAGCCAATATATGCAACTGTGCAGTCGCAATGTACAACAAGTTTGTTTGAATGTGTGACAGTTTCTAGCAGTACATTACCACCATAGTGGGTGATAAAAGCCAATATATGCAACTGTGCAGTCGCAATGTACAACAAGTTTGTTTGAATGTGTGACAGTTTCTAGCAGTACATTACCACCATAGTGGGTGATAAAAGCCAATATATGCAACTGTGCAGTCGCAATGTACAACAAGTTTGTTTGAATGTGTGACAGTTTCTAGCAGTACATTACCACCATAGTGGGTGTTAAAAGCCAATATATGCAACTGTGCAGTCGCAATGTACAACAAGTTTGTTTGAATGTGTGACAGTTTCTTAAAAGTACATAATATTATAGTAGGTGATAGAAGCCAGTATATGCATCTGTGCAGTGTGTGCATATTGGTGTCAAAGCCTTTTGAAGTTATAATATGTTATGTTATTTGAGTAGGAAATTGAAATATACAACAGTATAAATAAATGTATTATAATGTTCATTTATGATGGTATATTTGTTGTGAAGGAAGATCCACGTGTACATTTCCAACCTATATATAAAAGAGTAAGTGAGGGAGTTTAGTTTTACTCCGCTCTTAGCAATATTCCAGCAACATCATGGCGGGGGACACCAGAAATGGACTTCACATTGTGGAATCGAACACAGGTTTTCGGCATGATGAGCAAATGCTTTAACCACTAGGCTACCCCACCACCCCATATTACATATCTGCATGTATGAATGTTTTATGATTACCTTCAGCCTCTATTATCATTGCTATGTCTGGTGTATAATGTTAACGCCATTCAAGTTCATCGTGATCTTGGTAAAACAAGAAAACACAAAAACATGGCAATTATTCACTCTGATGTATCACGGCATGTGACATGCTTCCCTACCTTCGGCCATAATTCCACATTGTCGTAATCCTGTCATATTTTGACATTTGTGATAAATCAATTCTTTCTGCATATGATGTGCTGCAGGATGATTCAATACCTGATGCTGCATGTATAAACTTTGTTCTGTTCACTTACTGTTGTACATTAAACGTGTGGTTGCTTATGTCAACCTATCATCATATTCATGGCAGGAACACCTGTCAAATGTGTCTCCTAACGACAATGAAATTTGAATGTGTTGTTGTTGTGTATGCTTTGAAACATCTGTGTCGACAGTCTGTGCTGTTGTCTGGGAATTCCTGTATTTGATTTGCACTGTTAAACTGAAGCCTGAAAATGTACAAGATTGTTAAGAATTATTATTTGGTTTGTTGTTTAAAGCTGCACTCAGCAATATTCCAGCTATATGGCGGCGGTCTGTACATATTCGAGTCTGGACCAAACAATCCGGTGATCAACAGCATGAGCATTGATCTACGCATTGGGAACCGATGACATGTGTCAACCAAGTCAGCTAGCCTGACCACCTGAAACCGTTAGTCGCCTCTTACGACAAGCATGGGTTACTGAAGATCAATTCCAACAGGGATCTTCACGGGTAGACAACAAATATTAACATGGAATCATGACATTAAGTAAATTCTTCAGACATATAACTGTGTACTGCAGTTATTTTTGAATACAAAATACAAATTTATTATTAATTGATGAGAAAAGATCACAGCTTGGTTTTGTCCTTTGAAAGACTAGCTTCTTCTGCTGGTGGGTTGTCGAGACTGAATAATTTACCATGAGATAATCTGAGAAATTATAGAGTTTTTTTCAGCCTTACACTAGTTACAGCAAGCCTTAGTATAATGTTTTTGTAGTACGGTATTTGTGATCATGGTGTTTGCAGCCTGGTGATAGATTTAATTGTTTACTTGTTTTACGTCGCATTCAGCAATATTTCAGTGATGGGGCAGCCGCCTAAACAATCAAGACTGGACCAGACAATCAAGTGATCAACATCATAAGCATTGATATAAGCAAATGGGATCTGATGACTTGTGTCGATCAAGTCAGCGAGCCTGTCTACCCGATCCCGTTAGTCACCTCTTACAACAGGCATGGGCTTGAGATCAGTTCTAACCCAGATCTTCAGAGGTCTGGTAGACAATAGAGACTGTTAGAATGTTGGAAGTCTTTGAATGTCATTTGGTAGTATACAAGGACTGACGAGTAAGAATAACCCCTGTAGTGTTGTCATCCTCATAGTACAGAAGTTGACATCCATAAGTTCCCCCTTGTAGTTTATATGTTGCAGTGTTGTGACAATTGCTGCCATTTTAGACAGATGGGTGGGAAATTGCTGAGTAATTCCTGCAGGTTTGCAGATGCAAGGAAATTTGATCAATGCATCTCCATTAGATGGAATGGATGGACATTCAAGTACTGTGGGAAATAGAAAAAAACTGTATTTTCTCATTTATCTCTACAATTTATGTAGTTGATATGTGAAAGTGTGAAATATCTGTTAAACTAAGTTCGGCCTAACTACAGTCTCAGTGGTAGAGAGATAGGAAACAGAGAAAAAGGACTTTACTGAGGGGAAATTAGTGCAGAAATGAGCAATGCAGTTTTTTTCTAAGTCAAAAAGGCTTATTTGGAACAGACCATGGCTTTATGCAAATTAGTGTGCGACGATATTGTATTACAAAGGACACTTTTTAAATGCCCAATTTGAAATTAGACGTAGATTCATTATAAACGATAGCAGACGTAAAAAATAATAACTTTTATGCCAAAACTATTAAGGATGTAGCTACCATGCAGTCTCACTGTCACTATAAAAAGAAACAGATAGGAGGGGTCGCCTCAAAAGCAAAACCTGGGGTCAGGCTTGGGGATAGAGATATCAGCTAAGATAAGATAATCCTTTAGGGCAATTATACTGGGGAGGTACACGGCACGTCATAACAATTTACAAATAATATCCAGTCCTGTCGATCTTCGGGTGGTCATGCCACCTATATACTACGATGCGTTTCTATGGTTTTCGGTTATCATACTCTCTTACATATCTCAACATAAACTTTATGAAAGAAAGACACGTAAGATGTTAATCAATAGATGAGACATAGTCAACACACATGAAAAAGCACAAAATATCTTTGAGATGACCCCTTGTGCCTGTAGGCAGCACGTGCATTTCATGCCAGGTGAGTCGACGGTCCGTCGTCATACCTGGCTGAGCAACCTAATTGCCATCTATAGTCTGATCTATTGTTTTCAGCAGCTATTCGTATTTTTTCTAAGTTTTGCCCGATTTTATGAGTAAACAAGTTTATCTGGATATCGTATTACGCATCCCAATGAACGCCCAGTTAGGCCGAAGTGGGTTATTTCGACATATGCTATTTGCAATTGTGTCAATTTTAGGGATACAGAGTAACAGCCTAAAAACAGTTTTTTTGTATTTTCGACAGTACTATAGTCATTTGTGTTGTCAGTTGAAGTAAATTCGCAGGAATATCACCAAATGCTTCCTGTATAATGGAAGGTATGCATTATGAATATTATATTCATTATTTATTGTTGAAACGGTTGTTGGCCATGAAGGTTTCAGACATAAACTAGTGATAAATGTGCTGGTATGATAAATTCACTTAAACTCCAGTCCCTCCGGGTATTTAGTGAGATATACCCTGGGTATATACGAGGGTGTGAGCAGCTTGACTACTGCCTACAGTCTTGGGTTCTTGGCCTCGGAGTCAGTGTACATCACACATACACCTGTAAGACTGGTTGACAACAAGTAATATACCTTGTAGGGTGATAGGGTCATAGATATCTTCTTCCCAAGGCAAGGGCATTAACTCTTACTTCTGAAGTCCAGTTTCCACTCGTCTGGAATTTCTGAGTTAAATGTAGGCAAGCTATAGTGGTGTGTGCACAGTCCAATCGGAAGTCACAGACTCTCATAGTCATAGCTTTTATGATTCCGATTGTTTGTGGAATGGGGCATTTATCCCAGTCATTTGTGGTGC